CGTTTATCTTGTTGATGACCTTTTGACCTCCTGAATTCTGCAATGAGATTTTCGGGTCGATTCAGCCGAGACGGCCCGAGTGGAGTTTCATGTAAATGTTTCGTACGGAAAAAAAAATCGCGGCCGGTGGCTTGCTTGAGTTACCTCCATGCTTGAGTAATCACCACTGTGTACATACATACAGTGTGCGTCTATTTCTCACGCTCTATGTGGAAGTACAGGAAATATTCTGTTTGTGGTTGTCAAGAAAATCCATGAGAATTATAGTGATAGTTTAGGAGTTGCTTGCCTTATTTATTTAAGGATTAGAGTTTGACGATGGGATGATTAAAAGATAGTTATTTTGCGCTGGAAAAATGCCTTTTGTCAAACGAACGGTTGAGCCTGTACATCTAAGCGATAAGCCCGTACCAAAATGCTGCCGAAATGAATTGGAGGCTGTTTCAAATTTCACGTTGTGTGGCTTGATCAGGCAGCTGGCCTGCCTGGCAGACCAGGCCAACAGCATCTTCGATGAGATTGGAATTGAAACGAAACTAGTATTTGATAGGACAAATACATTGATATTCCGTGTCGAGAAATTAAAAGCGAATGTACATAATTTAGATGCGAGAGCAGTTAAAGTTCGTAAGTAAACTGTTTTTTTATATATTTTTGTGCAATGTTTATTTCATTTAATAGTGAACTGATGTTTTGATTTCGACACAAAAAGTGGACGTTAACTGCGAGTTCACAAAATAATATTTCTTCTTTTTCCTGACGATAAAAAATACTTTATGGAGCATTGCATATCTACCATGGGTGTGTATTTGTCAAAAATATAAAATGAAATAAAAAAGTACAAAATGAAAAAATTAATGAAACAAATTTATTGATTGTCAAAAGTGACCGCAGTTGTTTTTGACGCCTGTATAGATTGTTAATCTGTGTACATAATAAGTTATTGCTTGTATATTCAAACCATCAAACAAATAATTTCATTCAGACTAGCAGTGGTGTGCGTAGTGTGTCTTCGAGAGGGCAGGGAGAATTCCGTCTGAATTAAACTTAAGGTCCCAGTAACATCCCCCCCCCCCACCTTTGTAAATTTGCTGAGCCAAAAATACTCTCAAGTAGAAATATCACCTCATATAATCTCATTTTTTCCAGCTAGCATTCTTTCATTTTTAATCATTTAGCCCTTCCTCCCCCCCTCCTCTTACCTTCGCACACTCTACATGCCCATCTGCATGCCCCAGTGTCGTAATTATTCATAGGTGTATGTGAATGTGTACAGTACATGAATATCTGGCACTGGTAGTGTAAAGTATTATCTGCAATGAAATGTTTCTTTGCTGAAATTACAAGCAAAATTTAAAATGTCCCCAGGGGACAGAGGAGGCTGTCAATGTGGATGATTGATTCTGTATCCAGTGACCAGGCTAACAATGTTGTTATAATCAATTTAAGCTAACAGTATAAATTATATCGCGAAATAAAAATTTAATATATACCTGATGGAAACTCATCTTATTTGAGATTTATTAATAAATAGAGCCTACATTTTAATAACATATTCATGCCAAATAGAGGAATGATAAACTGTGCATGCAGGATAAGCTAAAAAAAACAGCTTGCCATTGCGACTTTATAGCATTGTTAGGTTAAACTTTTTTATACCTTGTTTTAACCAAACCCGCCCACTGCAAATATTGATGGTTTTGAATAAAAATAAAATTTTATTATTGGCCAATTAGTGTAGTACACCCACCACCATGAATAAGTGGAAATTTTAGAAAAAATTACAAGTTTTGAAATTTCCAAAGATAAGATATGTATATTTCTTCCTAATTTGAAGTATTTAACCATCCTACAGTATTTTACATTCTCCAATAAAATTGTATTTTTATTTTCTTCTCCGTCTAGATGGTTTTGGCAAAACTATTTCATAAATAACACAAATTTTTTTTGTTAGATTTTTATTTTACCCTCCAATAATCTTTAAACAAATAAGTACGCAAAACAAGGAATAAAAAAATCTCGCCTTAGGTATAGAAGTCTTAAAAGATTCAAGATTTAACTTTTCCTTCAGTATGTAAACTGATACATGCACATTGTTTTGGAATCTTTTGAAAATTGTGTTTCAAACTGAACCAGGCTAAATTTTAAAAAACCAGGGACCTACTGTATTTTATGCTTGCACTAGCGACTAAAAAACGAAAATATAAAATGAATGCCGCTGCTTTGGTCACACCGACATTCTATGTCTGTATGTCGCAATGCCCGCTTCTATGGAAATGCAGGCGCTTACTGTAAGTGGTACTGACATCTAACTTTTGCATGCCTCTAACGCAGGTCAACATGTGTGACATTTAAGGGACATTTTCTAATCATTAAAGTCCGTGAAAATATTATTATGTGTAGTTATTATTAATTCAAAGATGTGGGAAGGCATACAAATTTTTGAAAATGTACTGTCCATAGAAAAAAAATACTGTTGTTCATTTAGAAGATGAATTAAGTTAACTTCCAATCAGAAAAAGATTAAATCAGAACAAACAATAATTTTGCCTGATTTAGAGACGTTTTACAGTACAAAAATCCTCAACGATATAAACTGTCTTCCAAAAAATACAGATACAGATCTTTTATTGTAATAAACATACAAGGTACAATTATGAAATTTTCCTTCCTTATTGCAAATCTACTCCAGTATAAAAATAAATATAAATATATTAGAAAGCACATACGGTAACACAAAAACACAATTCTAACTACATGCATTATACTCATTATTAAATTGGATAAAGCTCATTTAAAATGCTCAAATTAATTAACTCCAAATGAGAAGCAGATTGAAAAAATATATATATATATTTGCTGTTTTTCAGACATTTTAACATAATAATCCTTAAAATGATCAATACCAACCAATTGGTCATTGCAAAAGAATACAGCAAAGGTATTTTCTGAATATTAATTTGTGTCCATCCCTTTATCTGCTGCATTATTGAACAAATGTTATTGCTAAAACAATAAGTATTAATATTTATAGCACTCGGTGTTAAAGTACATTGAATATAATTTAAAAATTATGAGATTCAGCATAAATTATATTAATAATTTGTAAATTATATATTGCCACTAACATAAATTAAATGTAAAATACTACTGTATATATTTTAAAAATTATATTTCTTATTATTTCTTTTTCTGAATATTAATTTGTGTCCATCTCTCTATTTGCTGCATTATTGAACAAATGTTATTGCTAAAACAATAAGTATTAATATTTATTATAGCATTCTCTGTAAAATAGATTGAATATTATAAATTTAAAAATTATGAGATTCAGCATAAATTATATTAATAATTTTTAAATTATATATTGCCACTAACATAAATTAAATGTAAAATTTAAAAATTATAATATATTTACTGTATATTTTTTTTTTAATTACTTGAACATTTGTGTACAGCACAGTAGTTTGATGAAAGCGTAATGTTTATGCTACACAACGAGCAAGACAATTCCAGTGTTATAAAACTGTTTATGTAGAGATTGATGTGTAGCATCATTAAAAGTGCTATAAAATACTTGTGTTTAGGTATATGGATTGATTTTTCTAGCATCCATTGTCCCTTACTATCATGTGATACTTTGATTAGCATATACAAACATATTATTATCACTCACTGTTTGTCATATTATCGAGTAGAAATTTTCAGCATTTAAGCATTCCAAATTGTAGAAAGTGTGTTACTATTACAGTACTACCCCATGCAAAAGTTCACTTACAACTCCATACCACATGCTACGCACATTTTGATTCCCAAAAGGCAACGTTTTCATTTCCTTTTACTAATCAGAGGGAGTTTGGATGCTACACTGTATTTAGCTATGCATACAGGCTGTCTCGTGTGCTTTACATTATTTATGTTGGCTTTAGCCATCAGCTTGTTATTCATCGTTGGTTTGATCAGTGCAGAGCTAAATGTATGTAGGTTGGACGCGTTTAATAGTTAGTGAATTTGTTTGAGCTGTCTTGCGCATTCTCCCAACGGAATGTATGTATTTTGTATCATTGTCGATATTTTTGACAAACCACGGAACCCTACGCCTTTCAAACATCAGCACATTACGTTTGATTATGAAAAACATGATCTCCACAATTTATGATCTAGGTAAAGTTGTATTAGAGATGACTACGCAATTATACTATAATGTTATTTTATTTATGTACAAGTACCATCTATAACTTCATTATAATTTATCTACTATTACTGTATGTACGGTACTAAGTTATTCATTATATTCCTGATGAAGTCCACTTTGTGGATAAAAACCAGAGATTAAATTTTATTAAGTTAGTATTAAAAGTGCTGCTGTCATTTCTTTTATTCATTATACAGTGGATAATGTCTGATGATTTAAAAAAAAAAAAGCACCCAACAATTAAATTATTAAAATGTACAGAATTAAAACTAGAATAATTTAAAGATAACAAATACATTATTAACTACTATCCAATGAGACTGACAACGAAGCAATTCTGTTTTTGCTGATCTGTTTCCTTCCTTAATTTAATTACCAGCCAATTAAAGGTCTCTAGTATCAGTATAATGTGAAGAATATAGAACGGTATTTATATAGGTGTTAGCTAATTGGGAAGAGAAATATCTCTCATTCTAATTCTCAATTGACAATAATAAACTTTAAAATTTTATTTTTATTTTTCATGATTAAATAGCTCACAACATAGAGTTCAATCTCAATTATATTTTATTGTCATTCTTCATTAGAACTTAGACATTTTTTGAGGTTATTTGTATCTTTAGCTATGAAAATATAAATTCTGATTCCTTTTATGATAAAATTTAGTGAAAGTGGCAAATTTGAGTTGGGGGGTGGGTGTTGCAGCCAGCCCTGAACCCCCTAAATTTTTCAATATTTTAAAAAACGGTAAAAACAAACATTATATTCAAATAAGTCTAAAAGTGCCATTTCCTACCATCTTGAGGTATCATACTAACTTTATTTGTTATGAATTTGACACATCTACCTACGGAAACACAATTGGCACATCCTCAAGACAACAAAGAAGTAAAAAAATACAGGTTAGCGAATAGAGAAAATAATGGGCCGGAAGACTGTCACCAGAGTGAATTTTCTCTACTGTAAACCGCTAATCTGTAAAAACCATGAAAAACATATTGAAGAATTATTAAAAAAGGATTTAAAAAAATATTTTTATAATAAATTGTTTTACCTCAGCCTCAAGCATGGTTGGGCTGAGGTGGTGTACAGTGGACCCTTCATCTGTGACTAGTATTTCCCTGGGCTCCCTCCACTTCAAATTCCTACTGTAGATCTGCCACGTCACTGATAAAAATGTTATTGAAGAGGATGATTTAAGTGCTAAATCTAATCATCGTAGCTTAGTGTGGAAGACCAAGAGATGTACTGTACTGTATGCCATTGTGGGACAATATGGAGTTGATACAGTTCTCTGTTGACAGATATGATGATGTTATACTGTAGTAATACATATGCTGGCTGCTAGAGACCATAATGAGTATTCGCAGAATAAATATCAAATTGAACGTTGTCGTGTAAAAGCAGCGGATTGAGGTACTGTATGAGTGTG